AAAAAAAAAAAAAAAAAACACTATGTCCCACACTTCTTCTAACGCATGAACAAGTTGTTATTCAAAATGTAGTTGTAAAGCCACAAAAAATGAAGCAACGCAGCTTCACCTGCTAGTTTCTCGCTTAATTTTGAATTTTATGAGTAAAAGCAAATAACTGTGCAGGCAGTCACTGTGAGTTCCCATCGATCTGCCTAACATTCAGCAACAACTGCTTTCAACTTCATTTGTACGAGCAGCAACACTAGTTCAAGCATTCCTAAACGCACAACAACCTCTAAATTAACAAAAGTTTGCTGAGAAAATAATTTCATTTGTCACAGTTGCGTACTGAACGATATCTGATGAAAGTGTTTATTAAAAGACCACTAAAGCTCACTATAATTAATACACATCAGCAACTCTTTTTCTTTCTAAAAGAATACAATAAAACATACTAAAGCGATCAGATAAATAAGAAACCTATCACTGCTTTTGTAATATTCCCTAAGAATTTCAATATTTTCCGTATTCGGTAATTTACACGCTTTTTCCACACGGCTGCATTATAAAGTTAAATAAATGAAATTCTTCACTACTTATAACCCTCAAAGTTTACCATATTTCTACGATATCTGCACTGACCGTGACTGCTCACTAACCGCAGATCTACAAATTCTTTACCCCAAAGCATCTGTGCTAAACTGCCGCGGCTCAATCGTAAATTAAATAAATCATGCGGTTACGTACAAATAAAAATAATGTCCATTGAGTATAATCTAAAAATTCCAAAAGTCTTAACAATAGTTTCAATTCAAATCTACTTGCTGGTTTCAATAAGTTATTAAATAACAGTAAAAATCCAGAAATATGCTGCCATAAATTTCTTTCCACATTGAAATTCAAAAAAAGTAACTGCCAGTAATAACATTTTCATACAGCATTAAGAAGTTGCCTAAAACCTGACTTTTCAATGTCAAAAGGGTTCCCTAAGAGATCGAAAACGAACTAAAACCACTGCTTGAAGAAGCTATGCAGTTGTTGCGAAATTCAATGCATTTTATTCTTACGCTGAAAAAAGCAAAACTACACTAAAAAAAGCAGAACTTCAAGCATTATTCCTTAATTTGGAAAATCTAACCAAATTCAGCACAAAAGAAACCTTAAAAGTGATAACTAAGACACACTTCAGCAACTGTTTGGAACCACCATATAAAGAAGCTTAGAGTGTTATAAATAATGCCACCGGTTTATTGGTAAAAAGAAAGTAGGTAAAAATAGGTAAAAAAAGCAGAGTAAGACTTCGAGCAGCAGTGTTTTTTAGCAAATCTAAGCGGCAGAACCAAATAATGGAAAAGAAAGTAAAGTAAATGAGAAGTCAAGATTTTGAAGTACAAAGAAAAGTTTTAAGCAAACTCTGCAGATTTTCAATAGCAGAATAAAAAGTGGATAAGCATTTGTTACACTGTTTCACCCTGTTAAACCCGGCTTACACAGGTGCCAAAAATCAGTGTTGAATGTTTAGTTAATAGATTCTCCGCTGCCAATACATTTCTGCTGTTGCTCACATCTACACTAATCGCTGTAAGATAGTGAACTTGGATCATCAAATTCACCGCACCAAAATTGAATTTTAAAAAATGACAATTAGCAATCATAACTGTATCTTTGTAAAATACAATAAACGGTTGAGAACCAAATACTTGTAATAAAGAGAGAAATATTCCGTTAGCAGCAATCACTAATACGAACAAGAAAGATTATAACCTCAAAATCAAAAAAAGGAAAATAAGTTAATATATTTGTGACAAAACACCGGAAGCTGACAGAGTAACAACTTTTGTAATAAGCTGCCGTCATCATGTACAGTAATACAACAACAGTAAAACGTCAAAAAACAGAAACTCGTTTGCACCTCACTACATAAGTCTGCTCTGGTTTTGTAATTTTATCACCTGGCATCCCATCGAAATAATTCAATGACACTGGTGAAAACAATAACATTTAAGTTTTAGATCCAGTTTTTGTCCTTCTTGGAAAGCTTATAATACTTTTATTTACACTAAACTGCCTTCTTTACAAACTCCACTTACACAAGCAGTTGTCACAAACGTTCCTTTCAAGCACATAGCAACTCATGTCCCACTAAAACCAATAAAAGTGACAGTGAAATAAAAAAGAAAGTAAAGCAACTGAAAAGCCGCAACTACCTATCTTCATTAAGCAGCTATTTCCCTTTTATTCCATTTAATCAGCAAAATTGTTTTCGACGAACAGGAATAGTTTACCAATGGCAGCATTTCTGCTGTTCTCAATAAACCTCCAGTATCAGCAGTTGCTGCAATAAAATTTGTTCCAAGTACCAGTATAATTCAAAAAAAAAGACAATAATATAATTGGTTACGATGAATAGAAAGCATAGGAAAACGAACAAGTCGATGAAATAAAAAGAAAATAATTTTAACAAAAAAATAAACAAAGAATCGAAGGACAGCTTCAGTCGAGACCACTACAATGCCTACCAAAAACCGATTTTTTGTTCATCTTTTACCATCTTCTTCCTCCTCCTAAACATTCCAAGCGAAGACGATATGAAATCTGCCCGAAAAAACAAATTAATTTCAGATGCTTAACAAAGGTAGCATTAGAATGAATCTATTTTTAGTTCCTGCCCGCAGCAAATCGAATATCATAAAGACTACACCTCACTCAAATTCTTACACAAATGCTCCATGTACAACTTCATCATTTCATAAAACTTTTCAAAAACATTTTCTAACAACAAAAAATCCCAGATGTCGATATTCGGTTGTCATTTCGACTAAGAGTGCGGCACCAGTTGCATCTGTCTTCTCCAGCAGTGCGCTTCGTTTTACCCTTGGTCAAATATCATCAAGCGTTTTCACACGCCTCTAGTGTACAGCTCCTTAACTATTCTGTTACACCTAATTTTTTATGTTTTTAACCTATTTCAGCTGTACTACTTAAATGTATCATCAATGCACACCTCATTTTTTCACCAACAACAGTGCACATACAAATCGCTCTAATAAATCCTCTTCATTTTTGACATACTGTGGTGTTAAAAAATTAGATTTGTCCGATTAATATGCAATTTCTCCTCCAGCTGCCTATTTCATACTGAATTTTAAGAACTAAAAAGATGTTTTTAAATTGTAAACTTACAACAGAAAAAAGAACCTGTTTATTACAGTTTCGATTTCCTGAGCTGCCAGCTCATCCACACCAGCACTTTGCCAACTTTATAAACTTACGACTCGATATATGACCTCAGCACTAGAAAGTTCCCTTTCCTTATAACCCACCTACAACTCATGCTATCACGATTATATAGCTTGATAGAATTTTCTGCTCAGGTATTGTACGGATTGAAACTCATTTTTTGCAATAGCTCTCATTTTGCCTGAGCCCAAAAAACCTACCACTTCCATGCTTTCCATCCCTTCTAATGCAAATCTTTTCCCTATTCCCCTAATTTCAGTCTACTTCCTTTGAATCAAAACAAGAGTCTTCCGTTCCTAGCTGTTCCGCCGTAACCCACACACCAGATAAAAAAATTAAAATTCAAAACAAGGAACCACCATACCCACAAATGTCAAATATCAATTAAAGAAAAATATCGCCCACAGCGAAGCAGCATCTTTCGTTTACAGTTACTGGCAATTTCCACGACCACTCATTACTGAAACTTACCTTTAAAGAACAACGTGTTGAAGTGAGCAAAGAAGAAGGCCAAAGCTCCCGCCTCAAAAAAAAGCATAAACAAAAAAGACATTTACAGAAAACCATTTATTGCAACTTTTTATTAACAACAAACAATGAAGACATCTACACATCCCCCTCTTCCCTCAAAGAGCTCACTAGGAATAGTCATTCGGCCTTCCGGCAATCTTACAATAAGTCGAATTTAGTATGAAAGCAAATAAAATAAACTGTATGAATAATACCTGATCTTAAAAAAAAGCAACTTTTATGACATGTAAAACAATGCCTTCTAACAAACAAATTACAGTTTCTTCAGTGAGAAACAGTGAAGATCAGTGAAACAAATATACAAATCAACAAGACACTTAAAGAGGCACTAAAAAAAACCACTTAGGAAAAAAATACACGGCTTTGACGAGCGATTAGGACAAAGAACAGAAAAACAAATGAAAATGTTTTGAAATCTGTCCTAACGCTTTTGAAAATCAAGCAGTTATCAAAAAAGAGCAGATTCTAAAAAATAAACAATATTAACAAAACTAAAAAAGTGATTCAGAAGGCCAGCACCACATAGCAAAATCTGTAAATAACAAGTACCGAAACTATTTACTGGAAGCTAACTGAAAACGTCGTACTGGAAGACCTACCGCAAATAGAACTTTTAAACATCAATAACACGTTAAATTTACATAAACAGTTCTGACACTTATAAAATGGAAGTTTTCAGTAAGAACAAAAATTGCTCGATTCGACAACAATGACGAAGATAATATAAATCGCAGAGGTCACAGAAACCTGTAAACCATATCTTCTCAGCACGTTGGAAAATGAGAAAATTGCCAAAAACTACGACTGCTTCAAATCAAATTTTCAGCTATTGCTGAAATATGATATCGATGAATGCTCAGAACGGCAGATGCAACTGTTGATTAAGTTTCCATTTTAATATTAGATAGATAAAAAAAGAAAATATCATCTAATGACAAAAAGGAAATACTGGTTCATAAACTGTACTAAACCTCGAAAGCAATGTAAGGCTAATGATCAAGAAGTTATTTCATACCTCCACGAGACCTTTAAAGTAAAAAAAGCTACATACCTCTATTCACTGACCAGATGATTTAGGAGAGATTCTTCCAAAAGTCAGGATTCTGTTCTAAACGCCTAGTGAAATTGTTGTACCAGTATTGCACCACGGATGCGGGAATATATTCTACAGTTCTCGAAGGGAAGTCAGGTTGCGGTAAACGAACAACGAATGACTCCGCATGATTAACAAAATTCTTTAACATTTTTTCAACAAACTCCATGAAAGACGACTGAAAAATAGAAGTAGAGCAGACCAAAAAACTCCAGAAAAAGTGGAAACACTCCGGTACTTCAAAAAATTAGGAAAAAAAAGAAATTATGTCAATTCCTGCTGAATTTTCAAAAGAAAAATGCTTGTAAACAAAGTAACAGATTAAGAAAAATGAATTAAGAATAGTGGACAATAAACCAACTTAGGTCAAAAAGAAAAAAATAAAATGATACTTGTAAACTAGCAGCTGTCCCTGCTGCAGGAACTTTTCCAGCTATGGTATTAAGTGGTTCTACCGAGATGCCTATTTGAGCACAACCCTGCGTAGCTGTCGCGAATGACGGAGCCATTGAAGCAAAAACACCTTCATGTACAGCATCCATTTTATGTAACTGTAACTACTTCAAATTAACAAAAGACCCTCCATCGGTTAATCCAAATAGGAAGTTGAAATGAATCACTATAGTTGTGAGCTACTAGCACACTGCTATAGTACTGCAGCACCGGTAAAACAACAGCTACTTCCAAAGTCCCAACAAGAATTAAACACGTCAAAAATTAAAAAGCACAATTTTCGTTCCACACCGACCTCAATGACTTAAAAAAATCTTCAAGTCTGGGATTGCAAGCAGTAAAAGATCACTTCTTCTATTATTATGAAGACAATTTTTTTAAGTCTAGATTACAGAGATAAAAAATAACCTGGCCGACTCGAAATATTGCACTAGGCTTGTCGTTGCATATGAATCCTAAAAAATGCCAGTTTGTTTCTTCGCCTCCTCCACGTGGCCATCGGATGTACACTACAGAACTCAAAGAAGCGAAATTATTTGGCATCAGTGATCAGTTCTTTCCTGACTTTTAGATGCTGTAATTCTATCAAAAAAAGCTGAATTTTAATACCTGAACCACCTGTGCCTTCTGGGAAGGGCATAGCACCTGTAAGGAAAACAACAACATGATTAATAGAGCCACCATCCGCTACCTCCGTTACAAATTCAGTATCTCCAGCTTGAACAAAATTTGCTTGGATCTGAATACTAAAACGTCAATGAAGTCCCAAAAACATTCGTAATCAACAAAGATTAGATAGAAGGTTTACTAAAGAGCTATAACTATTTAACACCAAGGCTTCATTTATAGAAACTCACAGGTTTACCAGCAACAATGACACCAAAAACGTTCGCAGTAGTGTCGCCCATCCGATTACAATGTCGGCTGAAAAAGCAATTTAAGCAGATAGACTTCAGTGCCGGACTAGATGTTGCAAATTACGTGCTATCCCAAAAAACATCAAGGAGCTCAAAAAATATTTGTAATTAGACGATATTATAAAACAAAAGAAATTCAACAAGAAAATTTTTATGCTTTTAAACTCCATAATAGACAAAAAAAAATTTGCAGGAAAAAACAATCCTTTGTAAAATGCTACTTTCCACTACAGTAAACCCTGAAACTTCTAACAAGCCTTTTTGCTTAAGACAGATATGGCTATCACCTTTCCGTTTCAAAAAATTTCAAACCACACGAGTCCACGAAAAAATTTACGGTGCTTATTACAGTCCTATGCGTATTGCACATAAACTGTGCTCTAAATCCACAAATCAAAAGTTATTCATCCTCTGCTAATTACTTCCGAAAACAAGATCAAGTTGACTTAAAATAGTGTACGCTTCGTAAGAATCATCAGAGTAGTTTAAATATTAATCGACGACACATACCTAACAAAAATTCTCCAAATTCCCCTTATGCCTTTCTACTTCAGACCTCAAAGCACCACAAAAACAGCCACTCTTTAGCGCTATTAAGTTTACTTCTTAACCATCCAAGCAGGCTAACAAAAAACCTCTACACTGAAAATGACGTCTCTGACTATTGTGCTGAGACCAGTTTTTGGCTTATTGACCTGCTTTGCGCCTTACTTACAATTTTTACCGTCTAAGTCTTATAAGAAGAAGCAGTTCAACTCTGATCAAGTAGATTTCAGAGACTGCGGCTTCCCTAATGCTACTCTTCTGCGTCTGACTGAAAACGCTTTATTAAAAGCTGCTAGGTCAGTGAGTCAAATACTGCAGAACGCAAATAAAGTATCCGCTTTTTTTTGAATCAATTTTTAATTAGAATTAAACTCTTCATTAGGAACTTTCACTCCACAGCACAGCAACGCAATATGTAACGCAAAAGGTGACAAAAATGAACATAGTCCAACATCCCAAAGCTTTCCTGTACGGAAGTTCACGCTACTAAGAAAGGCTTTAGCACAGCAAGGTGAAGAAAGTGAAAACGGCTACAAACCGTAATAACGAAGCGTTGATTTCTTGTTACCGGCCGGGCTTTAGCGTGGCCATAGAATTCGTCCCTATCAGCAGGACACTAAAACACTGGCATCTTGCCATGCCCAGCAAACATAATGCCCTGATGAAATAAAAAAATCCTATGTGGTCTTCAGGGGCCGATGTTCTTTGATGCGTTCTCCATCCCATGTTCTTCTTTGTACTGCAGTGTGCAGAATTTTGCTTGGATGTTCGCGCTTATAAAGAGTAATTTCCGTTTCATGTCTTTAACTTCCAACTTTTCTTTATCCTCTGCTATTTGTTAATTTTCCGGAACCGTGTGCTTGTTACAGTTGTGTTTACTTCCGTCGACCACATAAAGCCAAAATGGACTTCTCGTTACAACTGCTTTCTACGTACAAGTGCTACAGCACGTTTGCATTTTGTTCACGTCTTCATCCTGCAATGCCTTATAAACCTCTTCTTGCATATACAACTACTGCTTTCCATATTGTTTGACACTGCATCATCAGCTTAGGGCAAGCGTCAGAAAATAAGTCGTTCATTAATGACCGAATTTTCAATGCAGAAAGAGATTCGAATGCTGGCAGCTCGTCACACGACCAGGAGGTTTAGAGCCAGCTCAAGATCCACAGCGACAGTTATGGCTGTTATTTCTCAGACTGCCTTATTTTGTGCATCTGTTGCAGC